TTCTATTGCACGAAGATTACTAGATCCTTTGGCAGAATTGGTGAAAATTGATCCAAAGCACATAGGTGTTGGTCAGTATCAGGTGAGAAAATGATGGAAACTGGACCAAGATACAGGAATTTATTAATCGTACAGTCAAGTAATGTTAATTTGCCCAAGGGTTCCCAGCTGATTGTCTTGATAAAGAACTAAAAGAAGTGTATGGACTTGTGAAACTTTTTTTGAGTAGTAGCTATCAATGTAAATTCTGTTCCCAACAGATTTCTTCAAGGCCCTGCTAAGTCCAGATTCCTGTTAAGTTTGTAATTTTTTTGTTAAAAAATGAAAGATCAAATATGAAATTGAAATAGAAATGCAAAGTTTAAATCAAAGTACTCAGAAGTACAGAGAGCCGGGCTCATTTACAGAGTAGAATGGATTTCTTACATGAATCACGTTTATATTCTGATGAAAAAATTATTTTAAAACTATCAATATAAATGATAAGACACTGACAGTGAGTTTTTCAATCCTTTATATTCTGATGGGGTTAACATCCTGCCTTGAACAGGATCACATAAGCCGGCAATTGCTCTTTGAGCAATAAGCCCGGCTAAAAAGGGATAATAATTAATTGAAGGAAAAATTATATGAATAAATAAAATAGAAATTGAACAGAGTAATTAATAATCAAAATTAATTGACTTACTATGTGTTGTACACAGATTGATAGACGTGTGCTTGCACATTTCAGCATGATATACCAGAGAGTCAGTTAAAGGCAGCGTTAGACTCGGTGGTGGAAGAGTGTGTCAGCTTTGTTGGGGTGGATCTAAATACAGGCAGTGAGGCCTTATTAAGGTGAGCATCAGGTAAGGCAGTGAGGCTTGTTAAGGTGAGAATCAGATAAGGCAATGAAGCCTTGTTAAGGTGAGCATCAGATAAGGCAGTGAGGCCTTCTTAAGGTGAGCATCAGATAAGGCAGTGAGGCCTTGTTTAGATGAGAATCAGATAAGTCAGGAAGCCTTGTTAAGGTGAGCATCAGATAAGGCAGTGAGGCCTTGTTAAGGTGAGCATCCGATAAGGCAGTGAGGCCTTGTTAAGGTGAGCATCAGATAAAGCAGTGAGGGTGAGCATCAGATAAAGCAGTGAGGCCTTGTTAAGGTGAGCATCAGATAAAGCAGTGAGGCCTTGTTAAGGTGAGCATCCGATAAGGCAGTGAGGCCTTGTTAAGGTGAGCATCAGATAAAGCAGTGAGGCCTTGTTAAGGTGAGCATCAGATAAAGCAGTGAGGCCTTGTTAAGGTGAGCATCAGATAAAGCAGTGAGGCCTTGTTAAGGTGAGCATCAGATAAGTCAGGAAGCCTTGTTAAGATGAGCATCAGATAAGGCAGTGAGGCCTTGTTTAGGTGAGCATCAGATAAGGCAGTGAGGCCTTGGTAAGGTGAGCATCAGATAAAGAAGTGAGGCCTTGTTAAGGTGAGTTTTCAGATAAGGCAGTGAGGCATTGTATAAGATGAACTTCCGATTTAAGGCAGTGAGGCCTTCCTAAGGTGAGCATCAGATAAAGCAGTGAGACCTTGTTAAGGTGAGAATCAGGTAAGGCAGTTAGGCCTTGTTAAGGTGAGCATCAGATAAGTCAGGAAGCCTTGTTAAGGTGAGCATCAGATAAGGCAGTTTGGCCTTGTTTAGGTGAGCATCAGATAAGGCAGTGAGGCCTTGTTAAGATGAGCATCAGATAAAGCAGTGAGGCCTTGTTAAGGTGAGCATCACATAAAGCAGTGAGGCCTTGTTACATTTCAGCATCCGATAAAGCAGTGAGGCCATGTTAAGGTGAGCATCAGATAAGGCAGTGAAGCCTTATTAAGGTGAGCATCAGATAAGGCAGTGAGGCATTGTTAAGGTGAGCATCCGATAAGGCAGTGAGGCCTTCCTAAGGTGAGCATCAGATAAAGCAGTGAGACCTTGTTAAGGTGAGAATCAGATAAGGCAGTGAGGCCTTGTTAAGATGAGCATCAGATAAAGCAGTGAGGCCTTGTTAAGGTGAGCATCACAAAAAGCAGTGAGGCCTTGTTAAGGTGAGCATCCGATAAAGCAGTGAGGCCATGTTAAGGTGAGCATCAGATAAGGCAGTGAAGCCTTATTAAGGTGAGCATCAGATAAGGCAGTGAGGCGTTGTTAAGGTGACCATCAGATAAGGCAGTGAGGCGTTGTTAAGGTGACCATCAGATAAGGCAGTGAGGCCTTCTTAAGGTGAGCATCAGATAAAGCAGTGAGACCTTGTTAAGGTGAGAATCAGGTAAGGCAGTTAGGCCTTGTTAAGGTGAGCATCAGATAAAGCAGTGAGGCCTTGTTAAGGTGAGAATCCAATAAGGCAGTGAGGCCTTGTTAAGGTGAGCATCCGATAAGGCAGTGAGGCCTTGTTAAGGTTAGCATCAGATAAGACATTGAGGCCTTGTTAAGGTGAGTTTCAAAACAGGCAGTGTGACCTTGTTGTGAGAAGCATGAGGCCTTATTTAGGTGAGAATCAGAGCACAGGCAATGAGGCCTAGTTAAGTGGAGCATGACGTCACAGTCAGTGAGGCCTTGTTAAGGTTAGGCTGGCACTAAGTTTCAGGCTAATGTCAATGACTTATATACAATATCTGTAATTTGGCTATCATAAAATTGTTTATTTTAATATTTTAGAAGAGTTGCTGGGTTGAATCTTTCAAAAGCCAAGAGTCTCATAGAGAGAAGAGAGAAGATGGGTCCATTTACCAACAGAAGCCAGCTGAAGTTTGTCAAAGGATTAGGGGACAAATCTTTTCAGCAGTGTGCAGGATTTCTCCGAATTTCCCAGTCTACTTATGTCGTAGAGTAAGTATCAGACAATGAGATCAGCAGTATGAAAAGGAAAAAAGTGACATTCATTGAGCTGACTGTTTTTCTAATCTTTTGATTTCTGTTGTTTCTAGTGTGGAAAGCATGAACCATTCTGATGTTTCTTCAATACCTCCAATGAGTCAGAATGGATCGGAAGATCCGTAAGTAAAAACTTGTCCTCAATAATTTGTCATTCAGGTACGTGTTGGAAGTACCAACTCACCTGACCGGACATGAACGTCAACACGACTTTTTCCCCTCTCATTTATTTGGATGTGTATATTTCCTCAGTTGTGAAAAAAAAATACACCTGTATGAAACAATTTCCTTAATTTTGATCTGATGAATCATGTATAAAAGTTGTTGCAAATGATATTTTAATTACATTATATCAACTTTAAAATCACACATTGATCATTAATTGACTTTATAATAGTTCGTATAAACTTTTTGTTTTGAAACACTTCTTTTTTAAGGGCCGTAGAACTAAACAAAAAAAGAAATGAAAAATTATATTAGGAAGAGAATGTAGATTCAGGTGATTATGATTGCCTCTTGTTTTAATCTTTTTTTGCATTGTTCACAAGAGCTTGAATATTACTAATAACTAACTACTTAGTAAACTAATTACTAACTTATATAGTAATTTCTTGAAGGATTTTGATCTCTGATGAAGAAGAAACATCAAAAGGAAAGAAGAGGAAAGCTACAAATGCAAAGGTTCCAAGTAAAGTGAAGAAGAGACGGACAAGCTGGGATCTGGAGCCTCTGGATCAAACCTGGATTCATCCAGAGTCTTATGATGCGGCACAAAAGTAAGCTTTATTGTGCTGATCACTACATGAAAGTGCTGTTTTTATGCTACATGTATATTGTCTGTTGACCATTTATTTTGTATATTTTTAGGTTGGAGGAACAAATAGGTATAAAATCATCAGATATAGGTCAAGACCATTGTATCAAACGAGTGAAGGAGTACCAGAAAAAACATAGTGAGTAGATTTAATATGCCCTTCTTTAGCTGTAATAAGACTTTGTTATTAGTTGTGAAAAAATAACTTTTTGCTGATAATGTATCATTTCTATAGGTATAAAGGAAATAAACCAAGATTTAAAAATAGGGGAGCCTACTCTACAACTGATACTGGATGCATTTGTTCAGCCCTGTGGATATGATATCAGAGGTATTTATCTCCTTAAAGCTTGGTGACAGATTAATTAACTAATTGTTTATTTCTGAGCATCAAACAGCAGAGATTAAATAATGGGAGTGTCAATCAAAAACTTTGCCTTTCTATTTCATATAAAAAAAAAAAAAAACCCAGAGATTTTATTTAAAGTATTTTTAAGTTAAAGATCAAGATTATAAAACAAATTTAAATTTTACTATTAGAGTTGTTATGTTTAACAAATGTACCTTATCTAAAGTATGTGGAAGAAAATTTGCAACATTTTCAATTTCCTAACTACATGTATTTATATAAATTGATATATTGCAGAAAAACACACTAAACCACTGTTCAAGGAAGGAATTCGTGATATTGCCAGTCTTAAGGAGGGAACAGCATTGACGGGAAAAGTGACCAATGTGACTCATTTCGGGGCATTTGTGGATATTGGTGTGGGGAGGGATGGACTAATTCACAACTCTAACATGAGGAGAACAGAACTACAGCTAGGTTACCGAGTCGAAGTCCGTGTTATAAGTATAGACAGGACTACAAATCGAATCGGATTAAGTTTGGAGCAGAAGCTGTGAATTTAAACAGGTTGTTGTGCATCATGGGAAATTTAGTGTTAAACGATACACAAAATCTTTAAGTTTCTGCAAAGGAGTTACATGTTAATTAAAATCATTCTTTCCAATGAAATTAATATTTTCTCATTTTCTGCATTGGAGCAAGTTAATCCAATAATAATTTCTGATGAAATTATGTTTTGTCAATTTCTGCAATGGAGAAAGTTAATCCAGTAATATTTTCTGAAATTACCGGTATACATGTATTTTCAAACATTGACTATGTATGCAAATTTTCATTTACACTGTATGTGTATCAAAAGGATTGAATTATATTTCAGATTTTAACTAGGAAGATTTATTTAGAGATTTGTCTTGGAGAAAACGAACATCTTGTGCATATTAAACAAATGCATAAAAACAAGATTACAGGTTTATTTTATCAACTTGTTAATAAAACAATCATACATGTACCTTTGTTAATTTTTTTAAGTTTGAGAATTTGTATACAAGCATTAGATCTTGTACATTCAAATTAAAAAAAAAAAAAAAGAGGCTCATGGGGCAAAATGGTCGTATGGGCCACTTTGACCCTGCTGGTCTTGCATTTTTGAATAAGGCCTGAAAATTCAACATCACTTAAAAAGAAAATAAAACATCAGTTGAATAGCAAATGACAATATAAAGAACAAATCTGAAAGCTCTTATGTTAAAGCTTTAATGCCCTCCTGGTCTATCACATACATAATGGTAAGGTTAGGCAGATTAGGAGCAAACACGATGTCTAGTGTCCTGATGGAGGTGGAGAACCCACCAACCACTGCTCCGTTGAGCATCGTTCTCGGGAGATCAAGTTCTCGACTCGTTCTGGCCAGACTCAGGCGAGATGTGACCTGGTTAGACCAAGCCAGTCCAAGGGCAGGAACCTTGCTCTTAACACCTGTCTGCATTGAATCTGTCACCTGTGGGAAGTCATGGACAATTTTGATATATCTTAAAATCCAACAATCTAAAGAAATCGGAATGTTTTTTAAAGAAATAATTCCTGTGTAACCGAAATGAACAAGTGAGAATTTTACATACAAGCAAATAAAAAGTAATAAATGTTGATTTTTTAAAGATTTTGAGAAATTTAAAATAGGGCTCCAGGGTCATAAAACTTAGACGAGTTCAATTTTGATCTCAGTCTCACTTCTACAAAAGGAATATATATATAGTGGAAAAGAGGGACTTAGTTTAAAAGTGAGCTTGTCCAAGTTTTATGGTCCTGAAGCCAGATGTTTAGATCTATACATTAAGAATCACACTGTAAGCACTATGAATAGAATAAACTTGATAAATGATCACAACAAACCTGATTGACACACACAACAGGTAGACAGTATTTTGAGCTAAGCTGTTGTAGACTTGCAGCAAGAGAGGCCATATGCTTAGAGCGTTTGTACATGTCCTTTAATTCATAGTCACTCCTGAACACAGCTGCCACAGAATCTATGACCAGTAGCTTCACATTTCCACCAGACAGTAAGTGGGGGAGTTTCTGATGTATGCACATATTCAAACTTTCCTACAATTTATCATACAAAAAGTATGAATTAGTAAATGATGTTAGATATCAAGATGCCTTGATTAAAAGAATTTGCATTATCAATAGTCAATACCAACATTTTTACCATGTTTCAATTCTGCAATTTATCATTCAAAAAGTATGAATTAGTTATGATGTTAGATATCAAGATGCCTTGATTAAAAGAATTTGCATTATCAATTGTCATTATCAACCTTTTTTACCATGTTTCACTTCGTTTTTTTTTTTTTTTTTTTTTGGCAAAAAAGGGGAGAGAGCATGTTTCAATTATTTTTTCGGCAAAAACGGGAGAGTTGAAAACAGGCTAACAATAGTATTTTGAATTGCATGATATTGTATGGTTGTGCAATATGGTTACCAGATCTGGAACATGTTCAATGAAGATCTGATCTCCAAATGCTATCTGCCTGTGTCTGTCTGATCGTCGCCTCAAGTAATCAATCATCTGACCAAGTCTTTTACTCGGGAAAGCATCTTCAGTGCAAATATATGCAGCCCCTGTTGGTTAAGATAAGTAGACACTGAATGATTATTTGAACACATTGATTAAATTTTAATTTACATTTCCCATACCACCTCGCAAAAAGCAACAAATCGTACATTGAAATGGTATACATGTATAAATATCTAAAGTTATGTTAACCATTTTCTCCTCAAATGAGACTTGCATGCACCTTGCACGGCTAAAATTAATGGAGAAAATGTTACAAGTCTCAAACTGCTGGAGAAAATGCTTAACTTCAGTTGAATTTTGGTATCTTCAATAATAAGAATATGTTGAAGAGAGTTAGAAGTACCATCCAACCAATTTTTATCATGTATTTTTCTCTCAAATTCTAAAACCTTGGCTATCTTGGAATTTTTTTCTTGGACCTACATTGAATTTTGGATAATGAGGTTTTACTGTATAAATTATTGTGAACAAGTAAACTATGTATATACTTTATTGCTATTAATTCTAACTGAAAATTTTAAAAAAAATTGCCAGATATGACTTTGAATGACAAAATCATTGGGGGAAAGTTACAAATGATAGCTTCTTTGTACTACACATGTATTGAGTATTGATGATATCCAATATTTTCCGTTCTGATTATGTGTTAAACAGTAAATTAATTTTTCAGGACTGGTAACATTACATACCTGCTCCTAGGCCTCCCAAGTCTTGGGGTAGTTGTACACTGAGACAGAGCTGTAGACAAAACTGTGTCTTACCACTGGCACTCTCCCCACAGATCTCAGTTATCCCCCTTGTTAAGATTCCTCCTTCAAAAAATACATTTGAAACATTTTAAGGACAGTCATCACAATTCAGTTTGGTTTAGATTCTGAATTATTTTTGAAAGTTAATTGTACTATCAAAATTTTTTTTTTTAATTTTAAAAATAAGTTGAGGTTCTAACTATAAAATAATTTATAACAAAAAAAAAAAATGTACTACAAACTTCTGTATTTTACTGTCTAAAAAAATCACTTGATCGAGGTACAATTTGACTGGTTGTTTGTTTGTTTTTTTATTACATGTAAATAAAAAATGTTAACATTACCTCTCAAAACTTCATCAATTTGCTTGCACCCTGTGGAGAGTTTCCCTAGCTTCAAACTTTCAGGGCATTTCTCTGTACCTCTGTGTATATCAAAAGCTGAAGATGATAAAAATCGGGGCTTGGTAAAAAATCAAAATACATGTATGTGAAAGCAAAAATAACTTGTGGGACAATGAGTTCCCTGTTAATATATTTAAGGACAAATACTAATTGTGTCAATCCGAATTATGTTAGGCCTATAAATGAACAGAGAAAATGTATGGCTGGACCAGGAATCATATCTGGGAATCTTGCAAATAGTAGCTGGGTGTTTTAGTGTTTATTAATTGAGCTGTCCAGGTCAATATCCACTACCCAAACCATTACATTCTTCCCTCAATAAATAGTCTTTGCCCTTGAAGACAAATTAAAACTGAAGTTATTATTGTCACTATCAAGACTTTCACTTGCAAATTCAGGGTAATCAATAAAACCAAATTATGCAACACTTACAAGAAAGGAGAAAATGGATGACTGACTCAGATCCCCTTCAATATTTGATTTGTTCTTCTAATCTTACCAGAACTTGAAACAGTTAGATACACTTTTTAGATCACTTCAACAAAGTTGGAGGAGCTTATGGAATACCCTCTTTATTGGCATCCAAGGTTCAAGATTTTGGAGCAGATATCTTTTCAAATACTTCAATATATAATACTCCCCCTAAGTATTTGTCCTACCTGGATCAAACCTGCATGGGTGATACATCTAAACATAGACACTACCAGACTTGCTTCAGATGCTGAATTTGACCTTTACTATCCAGATGAGTAACAGGGTCAAAGATTTTGGAGCAGCACTGAGGTCCATTTCCTAGACAATATAAGACATACCCGGACCAAACTTGCATGGATGATGCACTAGCAGACTTGTTTCAGATGCTTGATCTGACCTACATTACATTTTCCAGATAAATAACCAGGTTCATTCCCAGGTAAGCGCAAGACCTACCAGAACCAAACTTGCATGGATTATGCATGTACATGTAGGAGTGCATTACTACTAGTTGCATATGGACACCAAACAATTTATAGTATTGTGGGGTAGACTTTCTCATATAGGCTACTTCTTCATTGAAGAAATTAGATGGGGAGCTCCACTGACTCACTAGCAGACTTACCTGTAAGGGGTGGCTGGGTCACAACTTGTTGAGCAATAGCAGTTTTGACTCCTGTTACCTCCCCATAGCTTAATTTGGCCAATCGTTGAATGTCTTGTATTGAAAGAGTCAAAATTTTCCCAAATGTATTCAGCCCAACTGAATGAAACAAAATTAATGTTCAATAAGACATTTAACATGTTTAAGTTCAATATTTCAAATGAACAGGTTGTATTCAGAATGATGCTGGTGTCAGAGAGCTGATAATCAAATGGGCTATAAATTTACAGTGCAAAAATTGAAAAATTTTATTTTGGCTATGAAATATCACAAATTGCATCATGACATTAAAAAGGAACAACTTTTGGTTGACAAGTTTTTGTATGCCCATTAAAGATTGATCCCTCGGAAGTTCCTCAACTTTTGGATTTAGGGTTGCAGAAAAACTTGCTTACCAAAAGTTATTCCTTTTTAAATGTCCTGATAAGATTTATGATATTTATGCCAAAATAAAATTTTTCAATTTTTTCAAATTATTGATATTATATCCCAAACGGACTATTATATCCCATTTGGGCGATTGGTCCCAACCTGATGAAGTACTGTATTCAGAATGATGCTGGTCAGAGCTGATAATCAGATAGAATCTTATTCATTTATGCTTGAAAAACATTGCAATGCATTTACCTTTTTTCAGAGACGTCTTAATTTTTGGATTTATGTCTAAATCCTCAGTAGAATTCATTAAGATTTATTATCTCTGCAACGCCTTTCAAATTTTGCGCGAACTTGACATTTTTTTTCCCGGAAGTAAAATTCCGAACTAAAAAGGGTTCATAGTGGTTTAGTTACCTAGACATTTTCTCCCACTCCACTTAGCCATTGTTTTCTTCTATTCCATGTTGTCATTTAATACTAATCTGAAGAAACATACTACAATGAGACATTTTAACAATCTAACAATGTTAAGCCTACATTCTTTTTACCTAGAAAAGGATTTCAAAATCAAATTTGATATCTTCGAACGTAAAGGCTCTGCAGAAAAGTTATCATAAGTAGGGTTGTCTTGTGAATTTTCATAGGTATATATTTTATGTTTTGTAATTTTTTTGTCAGTCAGGTATTACAACTTATGGCCATTAACTGCATCTACCAAACTCTTGTCAAATGTCACGGGAAGGACCGAATGAGTATAGAACTGAATCGTCTACGTTACTAAATATATCGGAAGTCCTCCGACTTGTTCCATGCTTTGTAAACGTAAACATGACTGACGTGGGATGAAGATTAAAGTTACAATCATACAATGTCCTGTCAGTTGAATATATTCGCTGATTTTTACGATATAAATGGAGTTAAGAACTTTCTCTTCCCGGAACTTAAGTCTGAACTAAGAGATGCTGAAGAAAATTCAGGTAAAAGCTACTCAAAATTCAAAAATTCAAAGCTTTCCATGATAAATCACAGCATGTCAAACAGTTATATTTGTCATCACTTACAATTAAGCAAGAAAATAGTTTAAATTAGTGAAATTCACTTATTGGTAATTCTTTGTACAGATAATGAGAACTGGGATGAGGATTGGGGGTCGTGGGAAGAGCAGGGAGATGAAGCAATCCCAGAGAGGAGGGAGGCCCCAGAATCAGACGACAAACTCCAATGGCTGCAGGAATGTGTATTCTCACTCTCCCCAGCAAATGATATTATGGCAATAGCTTATGATGACAAATGTGTCTTATTGTCACGTATGTACTAGCTGTTAGTACGCAAAGTGTAATTTGAATGCACTGCAGTCTGATAACTTGTTGCTGAAAATTATTTTGTACTTGTTTTGTACTTGTATCTTGAATTATACTGATGTATAAACATGATTATCCTGCAATCACAGCTTGCATTGACCAAATGAAAGCAGCCTGGAAAACGAAAGTTGTATAGCCTTTTGCATTTTGATGTCTTTAAAAGCATTGTAACATATTTTATGTTGCATTGTTTACGCTATAGTGTCTATAGGCGCTCCCCATGTGAATCTTTAAATGACAAAATATAAGTATATATAGGTCTACCCCCTCTATATTTTATAAAATAGAGTTGGTAGACCTACATACATATTGAAGATCTAACTTGTTACATGGGGAAGAATTTGATAGTGTCATGATAGTTTAAACTGAAGAAAAATGTCTTAATTTCTTGATAAAAGCTAATTTCCATGAGATCAATGTTAAACTATATTGCTGAATAATTAAACAAATTACAGGATAAATGTTTTTGAAATTTAATTATGAAGTGATATTTTAATAAGATACCCTTACCCAGATTTAACTTTTTTATATATATTTTAAAAAAATAATAATTTAAGATGCAAAATACAATATATTTATATACTGTAATTGTATATATTTGATGTTATAGAGAAATTTAATAATGGAAGGAGTAATTCTGGCATGGATACAAAATTCAAGACTGTATGGGAAGGTAGCTTACGACAAGAAGAAGGGTGAGTTTAACTGGGTAGCTTAAAAGTGGCTTCTATTAAAAAAATTTAAATTATATGCAGTGACTAATATTGTTTTGTATAATATATTGATATCTATATCCTTTTCTTTTTATATATTCTGTAGATATATATATAGTCTTTTACTTGCAAAGAGTTCCTTACATGCATCAAATTATTTTTTAAAAAATACTACAAGTCCATAAAAAAGATTAAGATACATTTTTCAGAATTTTGTTTATCTTTCTTGATTTGTAGAGAAAAGATTATGGCATTGATGTGTCTTCCATTGGCTTCACAGAAAAGGTACAGCACCTGATTAGCATACATGTTAACCTACTGTGATGAAAAAGAGGGAATTCAGACCTCAAAAGCGGTAGCATTGTGCGCGTGTTGTTTAACGCTTGGATTATCGATATCTTTCATGTAATATACATGTATATTATAAGCCTTAAATGAAATCAGGTACCTACACTAATTAATCTTAAATATCAACAGCAAAGAAGAAGACAGAAACACCTTAAGTTTGACATAAATTGTACAAATTCAAATATTTTTCATGCTCATCATTTTGCTTGGATTGGCTGCTTTACTTAGCCTTTTGAAGTGTGATCTTTGCTGAAATAGCCTAGAAGCAATAATTCTGAATGTTCATACAGTTTTTAAACAAAACAAATGATGGCGTGGTTTAATCTAGATCTAAAACAAGTTCGTATCTTTCGTTATATAAATTAGATTTCCGCGATGATCGAAAACGAAAGTAGAGATGTGCCACATGGCTTGGTCAATCGAGTGATTTCTATTGACTTTATTGATAAAGTTGTGAGCTTCTGCTTTTAAAGACGATGTCAAATGTTTTCATCTAATTCTTAAAAGCTGTATCTCCTTTTTCATGGCAGGGATGTTGATAAATTTATCGTAACTAATGTAATCACTGGTAGTCTTATGTTGTTGTCGTTGTCAAATCCGTGCTTGAAATCTATGTAAAAAAAGCGTTTGTAAAATCAAATTATCTAGCGAGATTTTATGAGAGTGGCTTAAAAATGGATACCCAAGCGAAAAAAATACATTAGACGCAGCTTTTGTAGAAAAGCGGTAGATTTCTGAATTAAATCGGTAGGCGGGAGATGGAGTGAAAAAGCGGTAGACTCCCGCCTAAATCGGGAGAGTTAACATGTATGTGATTAGTTTATCTTAATAAAAGAAAAGAAAAGCATTTTGATGACAATTAAGACACTAGCAATTTAAATCTTAATCTTAAAACAATGTAAAATTAATTATTATAAAAGGAAGTTTTACTGTAAATCTATTTAGCCGAAAAAAAAGAACATGGCAATTGTGCATTAAATGCTTTGATATTTCAGGAGTATGCAGGGTGGCCCAGACTGGACATGTGTCATTGTTGGCTTTTCTTCTGGTTACATCAGATTTTACACTGAAGTTAGTAAGGTTTTGAACTGTAACTTAAGAAAAAAACCTTTCTGTCTGTGTAAATGATGAAAAAAAATTAATTACAATGAATCAAAATTAGATTTACCTATAATAAATCATTTCATAAGTTATGTCACTCTGACCACACATGGGATATATGATTTTTTTTTTTTTACATCCAGACAGGGACTTTGTTGCTGTCACAGTTATTACAAAGTGAACCAGTTCAAAGGTTAAAGTGTAGAACTTATGAACCACCACGTTACCTTGGTGATACAGAACAGGTATATTTGCCTTGGACAACTCAAGAACAAGAACAACTAATTTTATGGCCAAAATACATATATTTGATTGTTTCTTAAACAATTCTGGATTACATGTGCAGTACTAGATTCCAAATTTATTCTTTGATGCTGTTAAAAATTTGCACTTTTGACAAAAAATTTTTTTGAAATTGGTCAATATTTGCTGATGGTACCTAATTGTTTTATTAAATAGTATTTAATACTGGATTATATTTGATACATGAGAAATATTATTTTTTTAGCACGAAGAGTTGCTCATTCTTTTCAAGAGAGCTGTGGTTACCATTGATGGGTTCAGCTTATTTCAGTCCCTGCGAGCCTGTAGAAACCAAGTGGCAAGAGGTCAGAAATACATGTAGTGCTTCATGTTATTCTAGTTTGAATAAGCAATATGACAGCAACTTCAAAAATCTTTTAGATTCTTTCCCTTTATACATGTATTCACAAGTGAACAATCAGCTATTCTTGTTTGAAAAAAAAAATGAAATGCTGGATAGTTTGAAATTAATGTCGATCGATGTTGTTTATCCATATTATTTGACCCAATTTTATTCGTTTTATTTATTTATACATTTGACCTGATTACACGACCTGATTACATGACCTGATTACAGCTACCGCCAGCGGGTCTGAGCCAGTGTTACAAGCTCCACCATTAGCATACAAAAAGTGGGCATTACAGGATCAGGAGAAAATACTGGATTTATGTAGTTGTGGTGAGTTTTAAGGCTGTATTTACTGAAATAACGGACGAAAGGGAAAAAAAACACCTTTATTCTATGGTAATTCTATGATATTCACTACTTATTCACTTTTCGCTTAATTTCAGGAATTTTAAATTTTATGATGTACGTGTAATCAATAATTGAATGTTTGAGAAGAAAATGCCAACTGTTTATTATGATCATATTTCATATTTATTTAAAGGGGCAGCAATTGTGTAGCTTTTGATTGAAATATTTATGTATTAATGTTTATCTTTTTTATTCATATAGGTGTAAATACACCGAATCCATTTGACCAAATAAGGACAGCAGCCATGATAGGGGGGCCCACTGCTAGCATTCGACCCACCCCACCAGCTGCGGGGCTCTTTATTTCCTCAGGAGTGGGGCCGTATGTGGGATTCTTTTATGCTGTTGAGGTAGGTGAACTGCACACATATTTCTTTAAAAAAATTTTAACCAATACATAAGACTGCCACAGTGAAATTTTACAGCTATTGTAGAAAGATTCTTTGCCTTTAATATGCAATTTGATATTTATTAGGGCAGCACACAGCCAATATTGTCAGATGTTGCATATGCAGTTGCACATAAACTTAAGTCGGCCATTATGTCTGCTGCGAGGTAGGTTTTTACATATTTTCCAAGTACAATGTAAATCTGTTAAAGAGAAGCTTGTCACTTACTTATTGTGTCAGTTCTGCCATATTTTTAACTCTACCTCTTCTAATGGCTGATAATTCATTTGCACACATAAATCATGTCAAACCCTTCCTTCAGTACAGTATAATTAGCTTATCACATATATTTACCCATATCTCAAATGATTTTTTTATATTAAAGTGGATGGTTAGGATTTGGAAGCAAGAACAAAGAAGAAGAGAAACAGAGACCAAAAATTGAGCCTTCCACCCCAC